CACATATAGACCTCAGACATGGTAAATTATTAAAAGCGATGAAATACACAGTACATAGTCCCCACCTGGAAACTGGCGAATGCAAAGGCTGAAATATTTGAAATGGGTAGCTTACAGAGGCTCGACTCTCCTCAAGCTACAAAATATATTGAGCGAAATATTCTAAGTACTGGGCTCAAAATAAAACTCAAATCTTTAAAATCTTATATACCTAGGTTCGCTCTCTCGGCTTTAAAAATCATGTAGGGATTTACGAGCTTGTTTGGAAAATATTATCGTCTTTGAGGCATTCTAGAGTTCTCTGAAATATTTCTAGGTCAGGAACTAAGATCTGACTTAATTTAATCTGACTGAAATCTAAATTATATCTGGATCATACAAATATATCTGAAATCTTGATTATATCTGAAATCCTAACTATATCTGAAATCTTGAATATATATGAAATCTTAACTATATCTGAAATCTTAATTTGGTTGGTTCTGAAATTTATCTGAAAAATATCTGGAATTTATCTCGAACCGTCCGGACTGACCGGACCGGTTCGACTGAACTGGACTGACGGCTCACTCGGAGTCGGTCGATCATTTGCTTGACTATGTGCAGCTCGGTTTGACCGTGGTCCGAGTTCGGCGTGGCAACTCGGGCCGACACGAACTCGACTGACACGCCTTAGCAGACGCACGGGTTTGAGACGGGGCCACAGCCACTGAAGCAGGGGCGTGCTTGGACCACGGCTAACGGATATGGCATGTAGACGGTAGGTCGGATGGACTCGGTGCACGGGCACGCACTCGGCAGTTCAGCTCCAACGGTCGGACGAGAATCGAGCATGTGTGTTGGACGGTGATACGCATTACGAATTAACGATACGATGTTTAAAAATTATTCAGACGGTATTAGGGTTCAGTCAATTATATTTGGATCCTGAAAAATATCCGGTTATTGGAACCGAATAAAACTAGGGTTTCGATTCTCGAAAATCCTAACTCTATTAAGGCTGATATTTAATATACATATTCTATGTGATTTATAATAAATCTATAATCCACAACTGCAGCTAAAATCTCAATCCAACTAATATTTTATTTTTACCGCATTAACGTCTAAAGTCTCGATATTCATAACTAAGTCAACTGACATCCAAAATTCATGAAATTTTAAATGTAACATCCTCAACATAAACGTGATCTACGGTCAAAATATCAAGTCCAAATTCAACACCTATCTCATTAAACTAGCAAGCGCTTCAACCGGTTACTTCATTCAAAAGTCTCGTTCGTCTACCAAACGAACTCCAAATCTTATCAAATTCGCACCTAAGCCTCATGAGAATTTATTATGGTTTACGAAATTTAAATTATCATTTTATCACTTGTACATTAAGAGATCGAAAAATCGATCGTTCCAAGCTCGTAAAATTCCCCATAATTCAAGTTTCACTCAAAGCATCAATTTCACATTTTAAAATTATCTATCAATCATAGTTAAGCTATTTGGAGAAGATTCCAGCTAAAGTAACTTAATCGGGCTCGAATCGAAGGTTGAAAAGTCGATCAAACTATAGAAAAATTATCGGTGAAGCAAAATCGAGTCGTTGTTGCTCAAACAGGTCGAACCGGAGTAAATGTGAAGCGGTTCAACTCTGTCCGAGTTGACTGGGTCTG